GCTGTCATATGCTTACTATTTACAGCACAAATTTGAAAGCGATATGTATTGTTTTTCTGTAGTTATGCCCGAAAAAGTGGGAAAGCTTTATGCGGAAACTTGCTCATTTCTTCCAACTTTACATTTCCACGGCTACTTTTTTTTAATTTTGTTTTTCTGTGGTGAGAAAAATAATAATTTGGTAATTGCATCCACGTTTGGTTTCGTAGGAGGAAAAATACGACCTAACATGACCCTAGCAACAAAATTCGGCCACTTTGGTTAAGAGTCCCAGCTAGCCGTCCCAAAGTTACCAGAAATGGCTTGAACTATTTTATCTACACGCTATTTTTGAAGTACTCACTGAGTGAGTCGATCCTACTCATTTTTTTCTCATGTATGGAGTTGTCAAAAATTGAGTAAATGAGAAACGTTGAAGTGAGTAGGAGTTACTCAGAGTGATGGCAAGCACAAAAATAAAAAGAAAAACAATAATAAAAAGACATTTGTGAATGTTTTCGGTCGTGATTACGTGTTCTTTTAATAAAATTATTACGGAGTGTGACGATAAACAGCATCATGGAGCAGATTCGAAATTTTGTGGACGGAGAAACGTATGACAAACTGGCAGGTAAGTTTTCATTCGTGGAATTTTCTTTTCCATCGCTATTTCCATGTACGTTCTACGTTAGGTATCAACTGCTGCATTCCCGGTTGTTCAGAATTTGTTCCGGGAAGTACAAATGCATATAAACAGCACGTCCAATCGGTCCATCATGTTTTGACCGCTGGTCGGAATGCAACTCCTATTGCATGTGGGAGTTGTTCGGTGACATTTTTTTTCTACAAGCATTTTATTCGGCATGCGATCAGTTTTCATGCAGTTAATAAACTTATTGAGGTTACTCCCCCCAATGTCAAGGGTGATGCTAGTGAGAATTCCGTTGACCTTGAGGTAGATCCATCGAAAACTGGTGATGCAGGCTCGTTAAATGAAGAGGACATATTCAATCCGCTGTTTTTTGCTCCTCTCGTCTCGTTGGAAAAACTAAGGGATATAATGTGTGAAGCAGTTACCCTTCTCCGGGCCGACTTATCTCTTCCGGAAATAAAAGTTGGGAAGTTCATGTCCTATTCCACCGAGTTGCTACAACTTTACCAACGATTTGTCATTGGCAATTTTAAACTCTTTATGCATGCCAAAGGGATTTGTGCGAACGATACCGATTGTTTTAAATTTATTAATTCTATGGAAATAGGAGATCCTTTTAAGGACGTCAAGAGTTCACAAGAAAATATTTCCTATTTGACTCAGAAAGCTAGTGGTTCTGTTTCGATTCCACAACAGATAGTACTAGGCCAGCGCCAAATTGTCACTAAAACACATCTTCCATCGGGGAGGAAGGTAAGAAAACGTCTAGAAATACAGAAACGAACGAAAACCACAAATGATGTTAGCCAGTACATTTCTGTTACACGGACCCTTGAAATGCTTATGAGAAATCCCGAAGCTCATACTAGTGTGTACGCAGAAAAATCGAGAAACGATGACGTGCTCCAAACGTTCAAGGACGGAACTGTATTCAAGAACAGCCAGTATTTTTGTAAGTATCCTTTCGCACTTCGGTTGATAATCCACTTGGATGAGGTAGAGTATCTCAATCCATTAGGATCGAGGAAGGGAAACAAAAAACTTACAATCATAAGCTTTAAAGTGCAAAATTTTGACTCTATAATAAACTCATCACTAAGCCGCGTGTATTTGGCGCTGGTTATAGAAACTAAAGTACTAAAAAAGTATGGTTATAAGAAAGTGCTGCAGCCTCTCATTGAAGAGCTAAAGGTGTTGGAATCTGATGATGGATATTCTGTTAAAATGGATCCAACACAAATCCTTCGTGCAGTATTAGTTAACGTAGTAGGAGATACAGCAGCACTGCATGAAGTTTTCGAGATCATGGGGCCACAATCAACATTATTCTGCCGGATATGCTACATAGCACGTAGCGATCTTCATGCTGGACAGTTTGGAAATATGTACCACCATAGGTCCTCTGGGACTATTGCAGCAGATCTTCAGGCGGTTCGCAGTAAAAAAACAACACCGACTCTTTGTGGACTTGTTGGAGAATGTTGTTTCCACGAGCTAAGGGTTTTCAACTATGGGAATAACTGGTATATGGATCCGATGCATGATCTTTGTGAAGGAGTTAATATGATGGTCATGAAATTGATTCTGCGGAATTTAGTAATAGAAAGAAGACTTATAACTTGCGCGAAGTTGAATGAAATCATCGAAACTTTTAAATATGGTAGGGAGGAGTCCGAGAATAAACCATCAGCTAACTTTAGCTTGACCACGTTAAAGTCTTCTAAGAAATCTATTAGTCAATCTGCATCGCAATGCTGGCTTCTTCTACGGGCTTTCCCTTTTATGTTTGGTCATTTGTCGCAGTATAAACAGGATTTTGACCGCATCATAGGAGCTCTATTGCAAATTAACTTTTTCTGTTTCTCAAGCAAAATTTCTTATTCTCAAATCGACGAGTTGGAATCAGCCGTAAGAAGTTTTCATGAATTATATACAATTTGCTTCCCAGACATAAATGCTATAAACAAGGTTCACCATCTGGCTCATTATCCAGAAATCCTACGTTCAAATGGTCCTATTACTAGTTGTTTTATTTTTGAAGCTAAATTCAAAGAAAGCAAGGGACAAGCTAAGACATGCCACAACTTTAAAAATATTACCTATAGCATAGCCAAGAGATCAAATTTCAAGCAGATTAACTCCATAGTCAATCATGAATATGCTCTCAATGTACATATTGCAGAATCCTACAGAGAAGTATCAAAAACATGTTTGGATCTTTCATTATTGTTATTTGATTTTCCGGAACAAGTGACTATTGTGGACACTTTAAGCATAAATGGAACTAAGTTTAAATCCTCTATTGTAGTTAAGTACGAGACATGTGATGAAATGCACTATGGAGTTATCGAGTTGATTGTAGCACAGGATGAAAAATTTGTGTTCCTCATTAACAAACTTAAGATGTTGAGGTATAATTATAATTCTAACAGCTTCCAAGTGCAACACACAAATGATTTTGTTAGAGTCTGTCGTAAAAAAATATGTACCAGAAAAACATACAATCTATGGAAGTACTATGATATTGATGATCCATTTTACTATATAAGTTTAAAATTTACAGACCATTAGAATCGGTGTATGATTAACGATAAACCAACTAGAATAATTAAGGATAAATAATCATAATCATCATCACTAGAATTATCATCAAAAATACGAAGAAAATTGTTTAAACAACAGTAATTTCCTTGCCTATATAAGTACGATCATAATAGTTTTTAACGCATCGGATTTCCTGAAAATTTAACGGTTAGTACTGACAATAATTGTTTTAAAGCACTAATACTCATCTAATCAAATATTTCAATAATTTTCAACATGAACAGACACCAAACATTTAAACTCCATTTAGACTGAACCTAATATAGCATGAAACTTAATAAGCCACATTCATTAAACGTTGAATTTTGTCTCAATGCTCCCATGAGGTTGACATCACCTTGTTAGATTTTAATGAAACTTTATGGGTGTAAAAAGACTTGAATTATCAGCACCACTGGTAAAAAAGCATTGAATTTCGTTTGGATTTTTATCCAGCATTTTACGAGCCCTTGGGTGTGTTACAATCTGGCTGAGTTTCTGAGTTACTCGTCAAATCAGTGCCAACATTTCAAAGGAGCGTAATTGCTTTTGTAAATAATGGCTTGAGCTATCGATTTCTCGCAAATAAAAGCCCATCCCTTCAAATTAACAATGCTAGCTGGTGAAGGAAACATTATTCTACCTGCTGGTGTCATTAATCTTCATGAGTATGCTTTTATTCGCGAGAAATCGATGGCTAAAGCCATTGTTTTCAAATGCAATTACGCCCGTTTGAAATGTTGACACTGAAATGACAAGCCAAACGTCAACTTATATGTTCCCTATTAGAAACTCAGTCAGATTGTGGCGGCCATAAACGCTCGTTAAATGCTGAATATAATTTGTGTGTTTTTGTAAATTTACAAACAAATATCAGCATTTCGACCCCAACTGACGAATATATTTTATTTTTTCCTCTTCTCTCCTTGAAACCGCAAAATTGTTCTCTAGGGACAATGAACTAAGTTTGTACCAAAATTCCTCAAAACAAATATTAGAAAATTCAACAACAAAAACATATTTTCCAAATTCTTAATTTATGATTTTCTGAAATAGACACTTAAAAATCGGTCAAAATCAGCTTTTAGTAAACATTTTGAACTTTTTATCCACAAATAACTTTAATGCCGAAATCATATTATTTAATCCGGAATATCGTTTCCAGTGCACAGATCATATACATATCTCGTGAAAAAAAAAAGTTCAAAAATTCTACCGGCCGAATTTTGGCACAAAATTGGTCCCTAGCGAACCATAATGCGAAGTTTCAACTCTTGGATTTCTTTAATTTTTTTTAATTATAAAAAATTATTAAATATTAAACCCCTTCCAATGATTGGCCAGGTTTTTTTCTACAAATGTTATCAATAGCTTATTTTTTTAAATTTCTACACATTTTTGATGGAATCTTAGAAGGTGCTGCCATAACCAGTGGTAGAAATTGCGTTAAATTTAAATAATCATATCTCCTCATTTCTATAAACAAATCTTGAATGTTTAAACGTAACTAATAATGTTCAAAGAACTGCATGACTATCGCACCAATTACAGAAAAAAACTCATCTTCTAATTTACATATAACTAAACTGTTCATAATATTGCATAAAATAGTATATAATACATGCATTAATACAATTATCACTGCAATTTGTAAAAATATATTTGTTTAATTAAAGCTCAAAAAATCAACAACGATTCGTTGTTATTGTTGGACGACGCTGATCTCGAAGAGATGGGTATCACCGCAAAAGGGCCGAGAAAGATTATTCTATCAGTTGCAGAAAAAATGCGTACTAACGAGAACGAACGTCAAGCCGAAGGAAGTTTGAATGAAAGTGCCCAGCTGAATTCGCAAGACGTGAGTAGCTAAAACAGATCCAGTATAAACACCATTGTAAATGCCTCTAATTTTTAGAATGTACGAACCATGCTTATCCAGGATTCAAAATTTCGACAGATAGTCTATGATGTTCTGGATCGTGGGCATATCCCAAAGGAAAACGACCTCCGTGGTATGGTACGCATAATTTGTAAACAGTTTGAAGACATGATCTACAATGGACGCGGGTAAGTGCTTTTTTCTTTAAAAAAAATAGCAATCGTTACCCTATACTAAATACTACGCATTGTGATGTGCTACACGTTGTCAACGCTGCAATATGTATGATTTTTATTAGAATTTATTTATATATCTTTATTTATATTTATTTATTTATCCTAGATATCCTACTACAGCCAAACAATGGAATCTGGCTAAATCAGTGGTTCACACATTTCCCCAACTTCAACAAACCCGTATAAATAATCAGGCACCTGTAGAGGTATACTAACACCATAAAAAATAATTCTATAGCCAATAAGTTCTTATAGATTTTTTTTTTAAATTTCAGTCTGCATTTTTCTGGCTGCACAGTGGTTATGATACTGGAAAACATTCCGGATACATCTATCACCGAGTTAGAAATGTTATCAAATCGTTGCCGAAAAACAAAAAAAAATTTATTCGCCCTCCAATTACAAGAAAGCCCGCCAGTTCAATCCAAACATCGCTCATTGAGTTATCCCAAAGCGTGATTGATCTTATTCCAGATCTGGCTAACAAAGTAAGAATTGAGCGAGTTATGCTTGAGTGCCACCCAATCCTCGCGCTGCTCCATAAGGAAAGCACTTGCGTCATCGGAATTCTAGAAACACTGCCACATCTTCGATCTTATGGAGGTGAAATGGTAATTGTGTACTTTAAATCAAGTTCAGTGACAAGACTTATCGCAAAACTTTTTCTTCTCAATTTTTAGATTCATCAAGCGTTCTATCGTCTCAACCCTAATGTAGGACAAAATCTCGATTTCACTCCGGTGATCTCCAAAGGGCTGCTGCTCACCTCACACCTTTTCAATGGAGTGGAAGATAGTACGTTATTGAATTCGATGTATTTCTTATTAGTATAGTTGATGTGTCAGATTTTAGCTCTACTGCTTTAATAGCATACGCAACTTAAATCTTAAAAGCACACAGAATTGGATTTGGAGCAGTAGAGCTTAAACCAATATACCAATATTAATTGATTCCTACGTCAAGACCTCTTATATTACTATATGTTTCACTTATTCTGATTATAAAATGTTCTTTAATTGTAGTTCATCTTCGAGGAATTTTGAGGATCTTCGCAAGATTGCACCGAAAAGGAACAGGTAGCCGATACGCACCTCAAGGCAATGGTTTTTCCAATGCTGAGCATGTACTGGCAGCCCCATTGATGCAGTGGTCAACGGTATACATTGTAATATTTAATTTAAAGTTAGTTATTTTTCAACATCATTCATATTGTTTTCAGAATATCTTAGAGAATATCGCACGTACTGGTGAAGATGATTGCCTACCGTCCATTATTTGTGAGGCAGAAGGATTCAAATGTGGTTCGTATACAATTGCTTTCGAAGGAGTGGAAATTGTAAAGGATCCGTCAATTCGTCGCATTTTTGATCTGTATCTCAAATGCTTCAGTGTGTTTGGGATCAAGGTGCCAACCCGAATTCAGATGTTGCACGATGTGTTTAACATCCTGGTTTACAAAACCATGGAACATAGCGGTCGAAAAGCAGTTAATGACGTGTGCGGATTCATTGCCGAGGCAATACAAGCTGAACTAGATTAACTAGAACTAGAACTAGATTACATACTTGTTACGAACACATGTCATATAACATGAATAAATAAATAACTTGAGATATTTTGTTTTCTCTATAACATTAATTGAAAGTATTTAAAATCATGCTGCACTAATTTAATCACATTGATAAAATTGAGTAAAACTGACTCAAAAGCTCATTCATTTGACAGTGAGTAAATGTAACTCAGATCTCCGTGTAATCACCGTTTACTCAAAAGTGAGTCAACATAAGGCTACTCACTTTTGAGTAGCCATACCTGCAGCTGATATGAGCACATTCGGCTCAATTTTGAGTTGATCTGAATAAGCGTGTAGTAAAACAATAAGCACTATTCACAAGCAAGTAATCGTTTAGTTTGATTTAAAGTAGTTTTTTTTTCCTAGCTCGTTTTGAAAATTATTGTTGACTTTTTCAATGCAATTAAAGTTAGTGAAATTTTAAAATCTTCCATAGTGATCCCCATGGAAATATTAAGCTGGGGCTAAGCTACTGTCATTGATCATTACTCATTCATAAACAACAATCATTAATAATAGATCGCCATTTAATGATTCGTCATTCGCTAGCTACAAAATATGGCAACACTGTGCAGCGGAGAAAAAAAAAGTTCCGAGACTTACCAAGAAAGATCGAAGCTTTGCGCCGTCGATCGGAAAATCCTTTGTTGTCTCTCCACTTTCAGCTGTGAACTTCCTGCCAACTCAGCAACGAACAACCGCGATTGTTTTTATTTTCACAGTTTTTTTTTTTATCTTCCAAAATGCTCCCCAAAGTTCAAAACAAAAACTTCAACACTCTCACTTTGGAATCCTGTCTCTTTCCGATACGTGCACTGCACATACACACACACACGCTCTTCCTCACTCACTCCCTTCGTATGAGGGGATGAGGGGAGCGATAAAAAAAAACACCTTGACTCCTCCGTACCGACCGATTCCACCGTTTCCGTGTGTTTCGGAAAGCGGTCCCGGCAGTCACTGTTCACTGCTGACACAAGAGAAAGAAAATCTTCGGTCCCGTTTTTAACACACTAGATTGCACCAGAAATCGCGATTAATTTTTTTCTACACCGACCACCATCAATATGATGATAATGTTTGTGTGCCGATTTTTATTCGCGTCAATTTTCACTCGAAAAAAAAACGTCCACTGTCCACTCTCAAGGCCCTCCTTCACGACGTCCGTCGCAGCACTCCGTACGTCTGTAAGATCCCCTTCACTACGTCTTCTTCTTTCTCTATTCACGTTCACTACTGGCACCCTCTTCTTCTCATTTGGGGGGTCGTTCGCTCACTCGCCAAAAAAAAAATACCACTTCTCTCGTCAGCAAAAATGAAACTTTCCCACTTGGAATCCGTGCACGGCTCGAATTTCCGCATCCGGTTGGCTTCCTGGCCGGATATTGTCCAAACTAACAGTGACCTCGGCGGCACCTGGTCTTTTTGCACCCGTACGATCGGACAAAACGGGCTCTTTCGAGCTGCTTTCAGTCGAAAATTCCGTTCACAGTCGCACCGAACGAAAATGTACAACACGCAAAGATCGCCATTTTATTTTCTTATTTTTTTTCTTTCTTTCTTGCTGGGCTCTGTCCCATCGTCCCGCACTTCTCGTTGGGGGCTTTTCTTCCATCTCAGTTCCCCTTCGGCCCAGAAGCTAGTGCGAGCTGTCAATCCGTACGCCACAAAAAGAGAGGTTGATTCGAGAGGATGGCGTTTGTGCGTGAATGTTTTGCGTTTGCCACTGACAGATTGACAGAATCTCTCACTGACATATCAGACGCTAGGGACGTCCCTTTTGTTACGGTGGCTACGTGTGCCTGAATGTCAATTTGAATGCAAATACTTCACTAACACGGAAGTGCTTTTGTAAACAATGACTTCAACCACCGATTTCTTGCGAATAAAAGCTATCTCTACACGGATAGAAATCTCCTTATACCTTTTGGCAAATTTCTATTGCTGATTATTCATAAAATGTATAAGTCAACTAATGAGCAGACGCCTTGCAAAAAGTTAATAAAGATCATGTGTCAAATAAAATGTATAACCGGTCACACATACCCTTTATGCATTCTTATAGGACCTATGTGGTTTGTCTTATGGAATGTATATGTGTTCTGGGTATCATCCAAACCATTTGTGGAATAGTTCAATGATTTGGGTTATCGTTCGTTTATGGTTATTTTTTATTAGGGAAGGCTGATGTTTTGGCAAAAATGTATAAGTGAGACACATGAATAAAATAATTAATTTTTGGTTTCGTGTAGTAAACTAACCATACCTGTTTGTATTAGAGATTACATACCTCTACTTGGTGGTGTGATTAGTTTGCATGTGTGATCTTGGTAACTTCAAGTGAGCAAACAACCAGAAACACAATCTGCACAGACACAAGGTATCAGGTTACCTCTATGGTATCAGAGAGACTTAAAGTTCAATTTACTTTGATGCTTTTTGGAAAATTTCAAAAGCAGTTTTTTTTTCCGACGCATTATTTCAGATTGCAAAAAGCTCGCACTATTCGATTCCTTTTGATATTTTACACAAAATGACGCGAGCTTTTTGCAATCTAAAATAATGCGTCGAAAAAAACTGCTTTTGAATTTTGATGTCACTCTGACACCTTGTGTCTGTGCAGATTGTGTTTCTTGTGTGTTTCTGGTTGTTTCTATGTGTAGACCTGGCTGCGAGGGGTACGCAATACAAAGAACCGGTGCGTTGAAGTAAAATGCAATCAAAAGTACTTAGGGCCGATTTCTTCACCTCCGCTTAAAAGTTAAGCGAGGTTTAACAACAATTTAAACCTCGCTTAACTTTTTTCTGATTTCTTCACTACCGCTTAACGGCTAAGCCGAGTTTAAAATTTACCAGGTTTAAGATAAGTGTCGCTTAATTTAAGCGGTGGTCTGAGGTGGTTTAGGAGCGTTAAGCGAGCGCTAAGTGGCGATATTCAACTTTTGATTTTCTTCACTTTACTCCGTTTTGGTGGTTACTCAAGGGGTAAGCCACTCAGCACATTGTGCCGAAATTATATTCTACACAGCTTGGGCACATCCATCTGCACATTTTCGGCATACCTTCGGCACAATCTCGTAGGCATTAGATTGTTGTAAATAAAATGGGAGCACTGCTGGACAACTGCCATTGAAGTTGTTCAGAACATTACGTGCTGTTTGACTGTATTTTCAGGAACATCTTCTAACTGAATATACCAGACGAACACAGACCAGCAGTTCATTTATAGATCTAAATACGAAATGTAGATTCTAGCATAGAGGTTACTCTAAGACTAGTAGGTCCCGAAGAAAAGTGCTCAACTTCTTGGCTCAGCACTGGTACCATCTTCGGTCCCAAGCTAATCGATGCACCCCTCGAAACATAGGAAAATCCACGAACCCCTAATTTTATCTGTCAAACCCTCATAGCGAATCAAAACAAACATTGTGTAGTACTAGAATTTCGACTAGAATGGGATACGTTAATCGATTTGCTTGGGACCAATAGGATAGTCAAGTAGTGAGCCAATTTAAAATCGATAGTTTCGTATTGATTGTTGATTCTAGAGTGGACTCAAGAGAAAGAGGCAGTTAATCAGACCTCATAAGTACCCTTAATTCAAATAATGCTGCAACTCACACAACACAAACTAAAGAAGTCTATTCATCACCCTCTATAGTCGGTCTCCAACAATGCTCCCCACCGGTTCCAACTCTTTCCGGCCGAAAGGCTAGGTTTCTGGTCTACCGTTGAGGGCATTATAAAACACTAAACCACAAGACTTTTATTCTCGCTTTTATTACCCTGTGGATCACAAAACACCGAAATTTCGCACACCCACCACTTCCTGCGCCATCCTCAATCCGATTTATCCTTGCTATTTCAAACCAAAACATTCAAGGTGTCAGAAATACCGGGTTGCCGAGATGGGTATTTTATAAACAGTCGCAGCTTGCTCTATATGACCGGCACAATCGGCCCACCTGCGGCACACTGACAAAAAAGATGACCCAAGATTGGTGTGCGGAGTGACCTACCCCTTGTGGTTACTTCATATTTCGAAATAAATCTCGAAAAATAATCTACTAGAATAATGTATGGAAACCACCAACACGTTTGGGACCAGGTGCATTGGAGATTATTGGAAAGCGACGAGGAAAATGGTGATGAAATCGATGGTTTACAATTAGCACGTCGCCAATATAAAATGCGTGCTCGCATCAGCATTGACACCTGGGACGATCAGGATTTCTTCATGAGATTCCGGCTTCAGAAAAACACCATGGCGATGGTCCTGGAAATTATTCGTCCTGATATAGAAGTCGATGAAACAAGGTAGGTAGTCCGCATAATGGAATTGCATATTATAATATTGCGTCAATTTGAAAAGATGCGTATTAATCATTATTTGGCGATTTTATTTATTGTGGTACTTGCAATTTTCAATAAAGCAAGTATTTTCGAAAGCCAAAAAAATGCTATTAAATAAAGTAAAAACACTCCCATTTCATTGCATTCGATTAATATAGATCACGACACATTCGTCCGCTTGTACAATTATTGGTCACTCTTCGATTTTATGCATTAGGATCGATGCAGATCGCCATTGCCGATTTTGCTAGCGTTGTGTTTCGTCGGTGTGCCGCATTATTCGATGTGTTTCGCTTGCATTAACTCAAGTACGCCAACGCTTTATAAGCATGCCAAAAACGCAAGATGAGCTACATGCAGCAAGTCGTGATTTTTACGCCATTGCAAAATTTCCTCGAACTATTGGTGCAATTGATTGTACCCACATCAAGATACAATCACCTGGTGGTAATCAAGCTGAGAACTACCGAAACCGAAAATCTTGGTTTTCACTGAATGTACAAACAGTCAGTTCAGCAGATTTGAAAGTTTTGAACATTGTCGCAAGATGGCCTGGAGCATCACACGACCAACACATTTTCAATAATTCAACATTGAAGATGCAGTTCGAGCGGGGTGATTTTGGACACTTCATAATCGTTGGCGATTCCGGATACCGCAACACTAAGTATTTGGCTACACCTTTTCTCCGCGGTGAAACGTCAGCTGAAACACTATACAACGAAAGCCAAATCCGTACCCGGAATGTTGTAGAACGTTCTTATGGCGTATTGAAACGGCGATTTCCAGTATTGTCGTTGGGAATACGTGTAAAAATATCAACAGTTCAGCTCATTATTGTAGCGTGTGCAGTATTGCAAAATATTGCAATTGATGCTAAGGAAGTGGAGCCGCCAGCAGAAATCGAAGGATTTGATGAAATGTTAGCTGCAACTGCTGTTCCAGATTGTCCTAATATGGAAAGAAGCGCAACGGGTTGTGTTCGTGACCATTTAGTTCAACATTTTTTTCTCACAGTTATAAAAAGATAATGTTTGATACTATTTTAAAATAAAAAACTACTGTGTAAACTGCAACCTTTTATTTACTATTGTAGCAAATTGGATAACAAACAAAAATTATTCACTCTCTGATCCGGAACTGTTCTTTCGTCTTTCTGTGCTCTTCTCATACGTGTCGCTCAAGAGTTTCATCCGCATCGCATGCTCTTCCCTCAAGTGTTGATAGCGAAGCTGTTGCGATTGTAGCTTCATTTTCTTTGTTTGGAGAGTAATATCAACAATCAATACGAAACTAACGATTTTAAATTGGCTCACCACTTTAGTAGCCTATTGGTCCCAAGCAAACGATTAACGTACCCTATTCTAGTTGAAATTCTATTACTACACTATGTTTGTTTTGATTCGCTATGAAAGTTTGACAGATAACATCAGGGGTGTGTGGATTCATGCAGAACATGCAGGGGTGAGTGAAATAGCTTGGGACTGCTTGGGACCGTTGTTCTGGTACTGAGTGAGCTAAAAATAATAATGATTTTCTTCGGGACCCAGTGGTCTTAGAGTTACCTCTATGGTAATATGTGCTGACTCGAGTTCTACCTTGCGCTTCTGGATTTCGAGCCGATGGACTTCTTCTAACATTTCTTCGTCACGTTCTAACAACTTCTTTTTAAGATCCAGTTCGACTGTAGACTTTTGACGCTTCGTACGGGTTTTCAAAACACTGCTCATGGGCCTTTTTAACATTGCAGGGCTGTAATTTTCCCACTTATCTCCTCCTCGTGTTTGTGCAGAATTAATGCACCGACTAGGACCGGCAATTGCGTCTGGATCACCAACTGGTGATGGAGTGGAAGGTGATTTGAGGGAAGAATTATCAACACGCTCGTTGCCCCCAACTTTCTGTTCTATCAAGTAATTATCTTGGCTACTCAAACTAACTTCTGTCTCCTCCAAATATTCGACCACATACGCATCTTCAGTCATCACTTTGTTCGAACCATCTGGCATTGCAGCCTCCTCCATTGTGATGGCAACAGCGTTTTCGTCATAATCATCGTCATCGTCGCACATCGATCGAAGTCCATCGACCGACAGTGCAATAACCTCGCGAAGCTCAGCCAACACCTCAGATTTTGGCCGCCATTCGTCAGGGCCTCGACCGCCGCCGGTAGCCTTACGCGACATCTTCTCTTTATAGTACGTTCAGACTGCAGAGTTATAACATGTTATAGCGCTATCTTGATGGTGGTTTCTGTGTTGCAATTATTTGACAACCGTTATAACATGTTATAACTCTCCAGTCTGGACAGCGTTTTAGAAGCAGCTTGCCGGATAGTTTTTTTTTTATGTTTTCATATTTCTTCTTTAATACTGTAGAAGTTCGAACCTAAGATTTAAAAAAACAAAGCCTTTTAGATAAATTTGTACAGTGGAGAAGTGGTAATTAAATACTATGAAATATGTTACTCACCGTGTTGAGGCAATTTGCATTAAACTCGGCGGTGATTTCCTCCCACGCACTGGCTTTATCATCATTCCTCTGCGTATCGCTGGCCTTACACTCAATGACATCTTTGCGGTTTAATGCCAATCTCACCAGCAGCTCCTCCTCTGCTTCCGAAAAATTTGCCGAGCGAACTCGCTTTTTTTGTTCGATTTTCGGTGGCATTTTCTTTTCTACGTAATAAAAAAGCAAACAGGCAAACTCAGATCAAAACAAATCTCACTTGCTAAAAATGACGTTTGGGTTGGAAATATACTGGAACGATATTGGAAAATTTGCTAAACCAGGTTTACGGTAAGCGGCCGCCTCAAATTGTTAAACCGACGTGAAGAAATGCAACTTTTAAGCGAGGCTTAAAACTGACGTTTAAATTTAAGCGAAGCTTACGGTAAACCAGGTTTAAAGCGTTAAGCGGGGTTGGTGAAGAAAACGGAAAAGTAATTAATGTGTTTTGAAGTAGTACTGACGGTAATTAAAATTATCTATCCATAAAACGCTGTCCAGACTGGAGAGTTATAACATGTTATAACGGTTGTCAACTAATTCCAACACAGAAACCACCATCAAGATAGCGCTATAACATGTTATAACTCTGTAGTCTGAACGTACTATAAGTAATGTACATAGCCTCGTACATAGCAGCATAGTATACTGTTAGTGACACATTTATAATTTATAAAATCCCCCTTTTCTTTTCTCTATGATTATAAAAGCAGCTCGAGGGGGGCAACACACCTGCATTTACCTCAATACCCTTAAAAAACCCAATTGGGTTCTTTAAGGGTATTGAAGTTAATTAATATTCGTAATCTGCATTAGAAATGGAATCCAAACCCAAAATTTCATCAATTTTAGTACACTGGAACTATTCTAAATAAGAACGATTACATTTGCACAAATCACCTTATTACCAACAATCAATACGAAACTAACGATTTTAAATTGGCTCACTACTTGACTAGCCTATTGGTCCCAAGCAAACGATTAACGTATCCCATTCTAGTCGAAATTCTAGTACTACGCAGTTTTTGTTTTGATTCGCTATGAAAGTTTGACAGATAAAATGAGGGGTTATTGGTTTCTCCTATGTTTCGAGGGGTGAATCGATTAGCTGGGGACCGAAGATAGTACCAGAGCTGAGCCAAAAAGTTGAGCACGTTATTTCGGGACCTTCTAGTCTTAGAGTTACCTCTATGTTATTATGTTCTTTAATTTTGAAAAATAACTATGTTTTTAAATATCATCTGAAAGAGCTTCGTTTTCTGAGCACAGCGATAATTTTTTCGAACCTACACACTTTCATCTCGATTTTTAAATCAAGATTGAAAGCAAAATAATAACTTCACTGTTTGACACTAAACTCACAAACTGACAGCTCGTTCGCATACAAAGTGACACCGAGGGGCGCTAATAAGATGATTTTTGCAAATGTAATCGTACTTATTTAAAATAGTTCCAGTGTACCAAAAGTGATGAAAATTTGGATTTGAGTTCCATTTTCAATGCAGATTACGAATATGCATTTACCTCAATACCCTTAAAGAACCCAATTGGGTTCTTTAGGGGTATTGAGGTAATTGCGTATTCGTAATCTGCATTACAAATGGAACCGAAATCCAAAATTTCATCCATTTTAGTGCATGGGAACTATTTTAAATAAGTGTGATTACATGAGCAAACATCATCATCTTATCGCCCCTCGGTCGTACTTTGTATGGGTGCGAGCTGTCAATTTGATAGTTTTGTGTCAAACAGTGAAGTTATTATTTTGCTTTGAATCTTGATTTAAAACTCGAGATGGAAGCAAATGGGATCGAAAAAAATATCGTTGTGCTCAGAAAACGAAGCCCTTTCAGATGATATATAGTAACCGATATATTTTTCATAATTGAAGAACCCAATTACAACAACACGTAAGTTCTCTTATCACAAACTTGAAAATATATGCAGTTTGACAGATCAGTGCTAACATTTGAAAACGGCATAAAAGCCATTTGTAAACAAATGGTTTGTGGGCCCTTTACTCACTACTTGAAGTACACCCACGCGACACAACAGCAACATCGGGTAGGGGAAATTTTCCCCTTCCTGACGATGCTGTTGGTTTGCGTGGGCGTTCTTCGGGTAGCGAGTAAAGGGCCCACAAACCATTTGTTTACAAATGGCTTTTGCGCCGTTTTCAAATGTTAGCACTGAGATGATCTCAAGTTCATCACCGCTACGATTACAGCGCCGCGGTGGCCGGCATAAACTTGGATTTGTCAATAGGCTAGTCAAGTAGTAAGCCAATTTGAAATCGTTAAGGCCGGCGCACAATAGATACGTTTTCAGGTTTTTTGACAGTTAGGCCATGCATTATCTGTCAAAAAATCCGAAAACGTATGCATTCCCTAATAAACGTGTACCATATACTGACGATATCTTAGATGGTGCGACCATACCACATAAAATTGGGATGATATCCCAAATTGGTGGTTAGGCGCATCTTATGGTTATTGTTTAAGCCTGGTACGCAGCTGAAAAGTAATGACGTTTCTACGTGCTACGGGATAGGACACGGAATGCTAAAGAAATTTCTTTTAATTAGCATTACTTGACCCAGTACGCAGTTCAAAAGAAATCGGTAAAGGAAAGATCGATTACATTAGTATCGTGATCGATATGAAGGTGGCGCATTCTGAATGCAATTTCATTTTCCTTGCGGAATAATGGTCTGACCAATTATTCCGTTAGGTAATTTTAACGTTTGTTGTAAAAATGATGTTTTGGATGCATTTTAACAACATAAAAATTGATAATTGTTGATTTTAAAATTAGACGACACCTACCTATGATCTCAAAATTTAGCAAAAGACACCTCTCTATAGCTGTCAAATTTACTTTTGGGAATATTCCTCAAAAATTACTTTTCCGTTTTCTTTTCAGCTGCGTACCAGGCTTTATGCGGGAAAAACCCTCGTAATGCTCGTAATCGTCTGACTGCACCCACCGCATCAGACGTTTCAACTGTCACATTCCTTGCGCACCCAACGCTGCGATTTCAGTGCCGGGACTATAGTTCCCCACCAACGACACTTCGAAAATCATAACAACACCAACAGTCCGCCATTTTTTATTATCGCGGCTCTACATTCGACTCTGCATCAGCTTTTCACTCCGTGAGCGTCGTTCAGTGTGGCTTCAGTTCCGAATTTTTCGCCAGGAAAAACGCGAATTTCGGCCCGAATACAAGTAGGTTCCCCGTGGGAACCACCAGCAAGTGAAGGTTTGCCGCCCGGCGGTAGTTTTGATTGGTGGAAGGAGTTGAAATTCTGCGCGGAACAGCGATACTATCGCTGGAAAGATTTTTAGTCTGAAGGAAGGAAGAAGAGTAGGGGTGTTCTGTGTGTGTGCGCGAAGAACAACAGCCGGGAAGAGATTTTCCGCGCGGCCGTCTCCAGTGTTTTCTTATCATTTTCCCCGCTAATTTTTTGCAGTAATTGAAGTTTGAAGTACCGTGCTTCAGTAAAGAGTGGGTGTGTTCAGAAAGTGGAATCAGTGCTCGTCAGCAGAGCAAATAGCGGAATCAGCGATTTTTCGTTTCTGACGGAAGAGGCAAGCCGTAGCGCGTCACCCAAAAATGACCGACAGTAAAGGATACGCTGTGAATGATCTCGTCTGGTAAGTCCGGAAGCGGAAGTGGATGTTAGATTTAGCGATACGAAATTAGAAACCGAAGGTTAGAAGTCATTCCAGGGCATCTCTCTCCGGGTGAAAGAAGCGGGAGAAGTTATTTGTGGGAACATAACCTCACTTTATGGGGTTTCCTCTTTTGCTCTGTGTAGAATTATAATAGAGGGATGCCAATGTACTTTGATAGGGTTTGCATCGGAACGTTTAGAGTTTTCGGCACGAGCGGGAGAACGCTGGATATTGTAGATCTATGAAGTTTTCTCCAAGGATTGTCATCTTCGGAATGATGACGTCAGTGGAGTGTTGATTTTTCCAGCTACCTGCATGCCATGGTTACAATGTTGATACCAATTTTGACATGTTCTATCATTTCCAGGGCCAAGATGAAGGGCTTCTCGCCCTGGCCCGGTCGTATATCTGAGCCACCGGCAGAGCTTCGTCGTATAACTGTTAAGAAAAACATTCCCGTTCGGTGTATTTTCTTCTTTGGCTCCAACAATTAGTAAGTATCCTGTTGATCCGCTAAATTATATGGAGCGGAAGATTTTCATTGTCCTTTACCCGCAGTGCATGGATCGAGGAGACGCAAATCAAGCCATATCATGAGTTCAAAGAAAAGTTGCTTTCATCGTGCAAATCGGCGGGTTTTAAGGAAGCTGTCCAGCAGATCGAAGAATTCATTGCGACTCCAGAGAAATTTCAGCATCTTTTCTCTTCTGAGGCGGAAAATCGTCCGGATCCGGACGTCGAATTCAACAAGCTTCGTGAAGGATCTACCGAAAGCGAGGAAACATCCGTCAATAACACTACAACTCCGGCAGCGCTGGAAACTGTCGAATCCACGCCAACCACGGCGAAGAAAACCGCAGCCAGGAAGAAAGTACGTGCCTCTCTGCCCATCAAGTTGAACGTAGATAAGGTGGTTCGCATTTTTTCGTTTGTCTTTGTGTTTCTGTTAAATGAAAAAAATTGAATCTGGTTCTATGAACTAACATTTGGCCTTAATCCTTACAGGCTGCCTCCACAACCAAGGCCCGTTCGATAGGTAACAAAGCGAAGGCAGCGGCTCTTGACGATGCAACTTCGCCGAAGCGCAAACGGAAAATTTTGAACGATACGGCGGGCGACGTCTCCTCAATAGATCTGGACACCTTCTCGCCGGTCCGTCGCAATGTACCTGTTTCGCATCTGCTGAATCGTCCGACGGTTGCCCGTCCGGCGACTCCGGAAATCGACATGTCCAGCGTATCGAACGCCCTCCAGTCGCGCAACATTCAGGCTTCGAATCTAAAGTTCGGCTTCCTTGGGCTCGGCATCATGGGCTGTGGAATCGTGAAGAACCTTCTCAACTCGGGCCATTCGGTTGTTGTTTGGAACCGAACGGCCACTAAGTGCCGGAAGTTCCAGGAAGCCGGTGCCGAGATCGCCGACACCCCGTCGGACGTGATCGAGATGACGGACGTGACGTTCTCGTGCGTTTCAGATCCACAGGTTGCCAAAGATGTAAGATTGAAACTCCGTCTGAGTAGGTAATCAAAAGCGAATTAACGATCCTCCGTTTTTGCAGTTGGTATTCGGCAATTGTGGCGTTATGTCGGCCAATCTGGTTGGCAAGGGCTATGTCGAGATGACCGGTGTCGATCCGGAAACGTCACAAGATATTGCCGAGCAGATTATCTCCAAAGGTGGACGGTATCTGGAAGCACAAGTAAGATCCTGGCGCTGGACATTCAAATGCATAGCAATCATTTTAATCATCAATTCGAACACAGATTCAGGGATCGAAGAACCAGGCCGAAGAGGGCACGCTAATAATCCTGGCTGCCGGCGAGCGGTTGCTGTTCGAGGAGTGCCAGACCTGTTTCGAGGCCATCTCGCGAAATTCGTTCTACCTGGGCGACGTGGGCAATGCGACCAAGATGAACCTGGTCCTGCAGATGATTTCCGGCGTGATGTTGGCCGGCATTGCCGAAGGGCTGGCGTTGGGTAAGGAAGATGGACCTCAATAACTGTTCTAGGTGATGAAATATACTGTAATTGCCGTGGTTTTTTTCCAGCTGATCGAGCGGGACTGCAACAGAAGGACGTTCTGGAGGTGTTGGAACTGACGAGCATGTCGTCGGAAATGCTTATGCAAAAGGGAAATGGTAAGTTAAATTTTGTTTAAGCTATCTGTTGGACCGAAAGGTGAAAAACTTCCGGACATATCAAATCAGAATCGATGCTATATCAGAAACTCCGATTTGGTTAAAGGCTTTAAAAAAGCGTCAAGCATGTTCGGCCAAACGTACCGCTTTCTGCAGTTGAACCTTACGGAAGGAACGACTTTTTGGGTTTCATTTCGTCGTCGAACATCTGATACTTCAGCTTCATCTTTGACTATCCCGTAGCTCAGTCGGTAAAGACAGTGTTATAAAGCACTGCGACGGCTACAACGAAAGATTGAATTTCACCGCCATTGCAACTCTGCACCTGCCAGATCTCGGTTCCATCGTCCAACAACGGATCTTTTCCAGAAGTTAGCACTGTGCAAGTAGCTCATCTCTTGCGCATCTACTATCAAATAGTGCGACTACTACGCATCAAGGAGCATACTTTATTTAGAGCGGACCACCTTGCATTAGATGTCCTGATGAATCTACCAGCGCCGATTGTTTTTCATGATCGTTCCGAAAATAATCGTACACTGGATTTCCGACGATCCGGCTATGCTGGGATTAGTGCTGCTATGTCCTGTATTGACTGTACGATTATTTTCAGTACGGCCTACACCAAAGCCTCCGTGGTCCAACGGGTCACCTCCGTCGATTGAAACGGCACAGAGTAGTGCTAAGTACTGGTTTTCTACAGTTAGGAGAACCTGAACACACGACGAAGAGAATCTGTCAATATTACTTAGGATCTAATGCAATATTCAGTTTGAAATCAACTTTGTTCAAATCAAAACAAAAATACTAGCCCATCTGATGGCTGATGGCACAAGCTTTTAATTCTATTGCAGCGAACCACATTAATTTAATTGATTTCATCGCCAGTTTATTTGTTTATTTGTTATGGTTGCATCAACAGACTAGAAATAGTCCCAATGATGTGTTGTAAAAAAGTACAGATTATACAGACGACATACATATACTACAGTTACTACAGTTACAAACGAAAATAACTTGGAAAGCATTCTCAAGTTACTAAAAATTAAATTTTACACTTAGCTGTTGGGTATCAAGCGCCTTCGGTCAGCAAAAAAGGCAGAGAATCTTCGGCGAAGCATATTCCGTGTCAAGTGGAAATCGAACATCGACGCTACTCGGTTGAACACTAGCTGCAAGCCGTAAATAGCGCTCCCTATGCTATAATTAGTTCGAAGAAGTGGAAGTCTCAGCATAAGACTGTTGCGTAGTGATCGAGGTTGAACATTAATGTTCACTTGTTGCAGAATTGCTTCGCAGTCGATTCTTCCTTGCAGAGTATCGGTGACGGTTAAGGCTCTGAAAACATCTCTTCTGATACGTAAGGGCTCGATATTGATCAATTGGCAGCGATTCTCGTAGCTTGGAAGACGAAGTGGGTATCTCCAAGGCAGCTTACGGAGCGCGAAGCGAAGAAAACGTCGTTGAACAGATTCAATTCGCTCGGCCCCATTATTGTAGTTCGGGCTCCAGACAGCAGAGCAGTATTCCAACGTAGATCGTACGAGAGGAGCAATAGAGCGATTTCAAGCAGTAAATGTCCGTGAAGTTCTTAGTAATCTTGAAGACAAAGCCAAGCGTTCTGGACGCTTTGTCGACGACATACGATATGGTGTGAGTATGTCAGCTTTGAGTCTAGAAAACCGCCTAAGTCTTTCACGCAGTGCACCCGTTCGATAGTCGTGCCTAGTAGTTTGTAGTTGAAAATAATCGGTTGTTTCTTGCGTGAGAAAGTAATAACTGTACACTTAGCTGGGTTGACCACCAGTCGGTTTAGACTACACCAGTCAGCAAAGATGTTAATCTGATTTTGGAGAGAACGGCAGTCGGCGAGTGAGCGGATGCGCAGAAAAACTTTCAGATCGTCTGCAAACGATAATCGTGGCTCTGTGATAACATGGTGAACGTCGTCGAAGTAGAGGAGAAATACCAATGGTCCCAGATGGCTGCCCTGAGGTATACCGGACTTTGCGCAGAAGCTAGCTGAGCGACAAGTACCCAAAGTTACTGTCAATTGGCGCTCCGTGAGGTATGAACGAAACCATCTCAAAAGATTTCCACCGATCCCTAGCCTATCAAGCTTAGCGATCGCAATTTCGTGGTTCAGCTTATCGAAGGCTGCCGTAAGATCTGTGTAGATAACGTCCGTTTGGGTCCGAGCAATCAAACTGTCTGTGATGTAGGACGTTAGGCACAGCAGGTTCGTAGTTTTGGAACGCCCAGTTATGAATCCGTGTTGATCTGTACTTAGATATTGCCTGCAATGCGCATTTAGGGACTCTATGACAACCAATTCAAAAAGTTTTGATACAGCACTCAGCGACGTGATTCCCCGGTAGTTGTTTACGTCGCGTTTGCTTCCCTTTTTATGAACAGGAAACATATCCGCAGTCTTCCAGCAAGACGGAAAGATGCCGCTGGAAAGAGAGAGCTGGAATATGCGGCGCAGTGGATCTAAAAGACAAGTGATGTTCTTTTTAAGAATAATCGACGGAACACCATCGGGTCCAGCCTTAGTTGAAGTCTTAAGTTTAGATGCTGCTCTAGAAATCGTATCTGTAGTGGCTTCGACCATGCTGAGCGTTTGGTTGATCAAACGAACATTACTGGCCGCGGAAGTAATGATATTAGCGGAGAGTTGCTCGGCTTCAAACACACTAGCAAATTTGGCTGAGAACAGGTTTCAAATGTCTTGTTGATTTCCAGCAGTTTCACCATTAAAAATCATGGAAGAGGGTAAGCCGACTTCCCTGCGTTGCTCATTTACGAAGTTCCAGAAGGATTTCGGGTGTGATTTTAGCCGCCGTTGAATCCTCCTTTGATAGCGTTGAAAACAGAGACGACTTAACCGTTTATACTCGTGGTTGAGTCTGACATAGTAGCATTTCAGTGGCAGTGTGCGGAGTTTAGTAAATCTTCTGAGAGCAGCCTTCTTAGTTCTTTTCAACGAGCGAAGATCTTTCGTCATCCACGGGACGCGAGAGTCGATATGGATGATCTTTTTGGAAACGTGTCTGTCAATGACATATGCCAAGACGTGAGAAAAGGTTTGTGCAGCAATGTTGACGTCTACAGGATCCAGAATATGCTCTCATGACAGCAGGCTGACAGCACATGGACGATACTGCAATGGTCAGCTCTACGGAAGTCATATGACACAGCGTTTGGAGTGCTGGTGAAATCATGGACAATATTATTTTCGATCACGATAACTAAAGCAGGGTGATGATGCACTACCTTGACTAAAGGTTCGGGAGCCGTGGAGAGGAAAGGAGCTTTATCACGAGCACTCACAAAGCAGAGATCCAGGGTGCGGTTGTTTTCATTCAACAGACCATTGATTTGTGACAGAATTGCGGTACTATAACTGTCCAGGAGCTGGATGGTTCCTACGTGGAAAGATGAACGCTCGTGATCAGGACAAAAGAAACCACTATGGGTTGGAGTCCATGCAATGTCCGGTAGGTTAAAATCGCCAAGAACAATAACTTCGTCGGAAGGGCCTGCTTTGTCTGAAGCGGCCAAGACGGATCGACAATGTGCGTCAATAAGCTCCAAGTCACGGGTTCGATCTGGATGAATGTACACTGCACAGAGAAGCAATTGACGATCACCAAGTTGAATAGCCACCCACATTTGTTCAACCCTGTTCCAGGAATCGTCCTCGATAACTTCTGCTTTCAGCTTGGAATTAACTGCGATAAGGACGCCTCCCCCAATAGTTTCCCTACTATTATTCGTGTTTCGATCGCAGCGAAATATTTCGTAGCCAGCACCAAAGACATAGTTTGAAATGGTTCGATAATTGAGCCATGTTTCGGTCAAAACTAAAATGTCGTAGCAGTGATCCATGACGGCCAGATGATAATCTTCCACGAGGCCGTTCATACCACCAACGTTCTGATAGTAAATCGTTATGTCCGACCTCCGCTGTTCGGGAACAACGGAAGGTTCAGCGTGTAGTTGCATTTGGGAGCTGGTAAATGTCACTTGACGGAGGAAGGATGTTCGAGTAGGGCCGTTGCCAATAACAGGAATGTGGAAGATCCCTTCTCCCATCTCAAACGCAGGGCCGGGACGACTGCTACGAGTTATGTACAGTTTGCAATTTTTGGGGATTTGTTTTGGCCGCATTTCTGTGCTTTGTACTCTAATCGGCTTCGTATGATGGCATTTCCAACTTTGACTAGGGTGTTTGGGTCTGCACTGCTATTACACTTCTCGAGCAGCTTGATTATGTTTAGCTTTACTGTTGCTTTGTCGCGGATGTCCGCGATGTGCTTCCTATGGGTGAGGGTCCTGTTCGATAGTGTACCCCAAGTAGCGGTGACTGTTGTTCAGGTCTACGTTCTCGCGTTTATCTTGATCCTTATTCCGCTGCTGTCCCTTTGCGGCGCTTTGGGAAAGGTTAATTTTAAGTCCTAGCTTATCGAGGTTGGCTTGAAACTGGGAGAGGTAGTTGTTGGCTTTTACTGTTGCTTATTCTGGGCTGCCACGTGTCGCCACTGCCGCAAAGTCATCGGCCAACTGAAAAGTTCGCATCCTTCTTGTTCGATCTGGTGCAGACCGCTTGTGTAGAGGTTGAAGAGGATCGATGACAGTGGGTATCCTTGGAAAGGTCTTCACTAACCTCTCGGTGGGTGTCTCCTTCATTTGTTTTGAGGACGAGACGTCGGTCACTGAGGTAAGTGGTATAGATTTTCTATTGCTTGCTACTATCTCAGTCAGTCTGCTGTTGATGAACTTGAGTTTTTTTTTTGCCTTGATCTGTTTTTCGTCGATCTTGTTTTCCGTACTGAGCGTACTGAGTACCAATGCTACCGACGCCACAGAAACAGCTTCAAACCTGGACCCTACTTATCGACCCATCAACTCATGGACCGAGGACTAACCCACTTAAGCCATCCTCCAATCCTGGATCTGGATATATTGCTAGATTGTTAATTCCGCTTCATCGTCTGTTCCGCATGTCTCTCTCCAGTGGCATATTTCCATCCTGTTGGAAATTTGCGCACATGTTTCCCGTCCACAAAAAGCGAAGGAAACGAGCTGTGGATAACTATCGAGGAATTACATCGTTAAGTGCCGTTTCGAAGCTATTCGACCTAGTGAATATGGAACCGTTGCTGTCCCATTGCAAGCAGTATTTGAGTGCTGATCAACATGGGTTTACTGTCGGCTGCTCTACAACCTCCAATCTGCTGTGTCTCACTCGGTTATATACTAAAACATGTCGGATCGGGTTCAAACGGACGTTATTGATTCAGACCTATCCGCAGCATTCGACAAGTTGAACCATGCTACTATTGCGATTGCTAAACTCGGCAGGGTAATCTTCTGAGTTGATTTCGATCATATCTTACCGGTCGGCAACTAAAGGTTGCCATAGGGGATTGCAGATCAGCTAGCTTCTTCGCCACATCAGGTATACCTCAGGGAAGTCACCTGGGACCGTTGATTTTTATACTGTACCTGAACGACGTGCATCTGGTCATCGAAGCTCCTCGGTTATCAAATGCAGATGACCTCAAAATCTTCCTACGAATCTGCTCCATTGCTGACTGTCACTTTCTTCTACGTCAGCTGAATGTATTCGCTAGTTGGTGCAGTTTAAACAGAATGGTAGTGAACCCAGCCTTATGCTCCGCTATTACGTTCTTACGAAAACAACAACCGATAATATTTGGCTATGACCTGCTTGAAGCGGTGCATCCATCCGGCGAGCGTTACCAGAGTCTGGTCGGTGCTTTGCTATACGTTGCTGTGTGCACCAGACCCGATATTGCGATTGCTGCGTCTATTCTGGGACGAAAGGTGAGCCAACCTACCGAAGCGGATTGGTCCGAGGCGAAGAGGACTTTACGGTACCTCAACGCAACAGCTGACTTGAAGCTTGAGCTTGGCGGAACCGGCGGTCTCGAAGGATTTGTGGATACGGACTGGGCTGGTGACAAATCGGAACGAAAATCAAATTCCGGGTTCGTTTTTAAGCTCGGAGGTGGTTCAATCAGCTGGTCCGCTAGGAAACAGCAATGCGTCACGTTGAGTACGTTGCGCTATCGGAGTCTAGTCAGGAGTTACTCTGGCTGTTGAAGCTAATGGAGGACATAGGCGAGGTCGTTGATGGGCCAGTGGTGATGCACGAGGACAACCAGAGCTGCATCGCCATGCTGTCATCCGAAGGAGGGAGCCGACGAACCAAACACATTCATACACGGTTCAACTTTGTGCGAGAACTGATGTCGACTGGCATGATGGAAGTCAGGTACTGTCCAACGGAATCAATGTTCGCAGACATAGGTACTCACGAAGCCTTTGGCGAGAGTTAAGCTGGAGAAGTTCCGTACCATGATCGGACTGAAGTTCTTCGACGTTGAGGAGGAGTGAAGCGGTGCATTTAGCAACGTGAAGAGCTGCAGAGTAGAAATAATATAGGTCTAAGTTAGCCATGAGTTATTTGAATAAAATTCGTTGTTCTTTTGTCGTCGCTCTTACGGACTAGACGCTATTTTACTTTGCTCCATTCCTGCCAAGACTGCTTGGTTCGACGATCGAACGTGTGAATCAGGTGAAAGACTTGGGTTTGATCTTGAAATCGCAGCTATCATTCAAGCAACACATTGCATATGTTGTCGATAAGGCGTCAAGAACTTTAGGGTTCATTTTTAGCTAAAAACATCACCGATATCTACTGTCTAAAATCTCTCTATTGTTCGCTTGTTCGATTGACGCTTGAGTATTGTTCAGCGGTTTGGAAACCAAACTACAACAACGGTGCCGAGAGAATTGAATCTGTTCTACGTCGTTTTGTTCGTTTTGCGGTACGTAGATTGCCTTGGAATGATCCGTTTCGATTACCCAGTTACGAAAACCGTTGTCAACTTATCGACCTAGACCTTCTCAGGACTAGAAGAGACACAAACAGAGCCCTAACCGTGGCCAATACCCTACAAGGAAGGACAGATTGCGAGGCTATCCTGAGGCAAATGTTCAACCCCGACCGCTTCGTAACAACCTTATGTTAAGGCTACATTGCAAATTACATATTTTAACAATACAATAAGGTTGTGCAAAACTGAATGAAAGCGGTTAACCGCAAAGTCCGTGAATACATATTTGGAAAAGTAAAAAGTATAGTGAACTCAACAATATCAGAGCTTCATGCGAGAGTAAGCTGCCAGAATGTCATACAACTGAATAATTACTTATTAACATTATTGAATTTTGTATGACTACGTTTTGCTCGTTCCACTCTTTAAGTCGGTGGGGGGAATCTGACATGGGTTTCCGAACCAATTTCAGCAACATCGTAATAGTGTGTAAGGAACTGTTCGGTGTCTTCCAGAGTGTGGTTTCCGGTTTCCTATTTACTTGTTTCGGTTGTAATTTCGGAGCATATCTGGCTTGATCTTGCAGGCCTACCTTCTACCTTCTACGGATTCTTGTTTCTTTTTTCTCCTTTTCCGTGTCTGGCTGTCCCAATTTCGTTCTCAGTTAGTACATGAGGCGGGACAATAGAGCAATTTAGTGTGAAGCTGCGGTGTGCCATAACACATGAAAGTAATGAAAATGTTATAAATAAGAGAAAAACGAATACTCCCTAGGCGTAAAACTTGACTTCTAGCCCATCTGAACCATTCCAAGCTAGGAAGCTACCAACAATATTCTGCTTCCCTTTAGCAGTACTTTCGCGTCCTACATCTTCCCAGCATCAAAACTGTTACAAAGCATATAATAATACAATTTTTTTAATTAAAATATCGGAAATATATCAACCTGCACTGAATTGGCCATCCAAATATTGGTTCTCACATTACACTTTACACTGGCTCGATTAGCGACCAGACCGCCGGATACTTGTGTTCGTCAAGGCCCACGCACATTACATCCGGATCGGACGCGTTGCGGTAAAATGACAGCTAAATCTATTGTCCAACTGTCAAATTAACGTCAACGCAACGCAAACGGATCTAATGTGGGTGGCCCTTCACTCGTTTTCTTTCAAATTCGCTTACAATTCCCACTTTTCCCTACGAGTGCTGATCAACCATAATATTCAAAGATTATGGCAGAGCCTCGGAAGTTGCAGTAATCTAGTGGTTTTCAATGCGTCAGACATTCCGCACTCCTATTGCACAACCGCTACGTCTCTACCATGGGACACTCAAGAACCCACTGAGTCAACCACCGGCAGTCTTCATAAGACCCCCTTCTGTCAAAATCAAAATCGAAAAATCTGTTCTTTGAATTCCTATGATGGTGTTCGCCAGTGAGCCCAACTCGTCGACCACCACCTCAATCGTCCCGGCTTCCCAACAGTAAACCTAGTTTAAGTTAACTTCAAAACACTTGAATCAAGTTAACCCCTACTTAACAAACAAAAAAATCTCTTCCTCATTCGTTACAGCAATCATCAAGGGCGAATTCCCGACCCACCAGCCGCTGAAGCACATGCAGAAGGACCTCAAGCTGGCCCTGAACATGGCGGACGGACTGGAGCAGTCGCTTCCGATCACGGCCGCATCGAACGAAGTGTACAAGCATGCAAAACGCCTTGGCTACGGTTCACACGATGCCAGCGCAGTTTACGTGCGGGCAAGGTTTTAACAGCGACTGGTCGGAACGAAGAAGGTGACGACGACGGCGGAGGCGAAGGTCCTGCCAGTGGCGGGGGACGTCTAAGTAATGAAACGACGACGACGACGACGAGTATGTAAGGGCAAAGACCAAGAAGACAGACACACATGGGCGCAATACACACGCATCCACCGCGGCACCCTTCTGTTTGGGTGTGCGGCAGCTGCTGCCTTTGCGTCTGTGTATGCGGTTTGAAGGATTAGATTTAGTAGCTATTTTTTGTTTTCTTTTTAGTAGCAAAAAAATCCCGTTTCTGAAAAGCGCGCACGTGAGAAGGATGGTAATTTCGATTTACCAGTTTAACGATAAGACCACATTTTTCCGGAGAGAAATAAATTCCGGTAAAACTTTTTCGACCCATAACGCAACTCTTTCGTGCACACTCTCATTGCAAAACAAACAGATCAGGAGCTAAGTATGGAGAGCACATATTTTATTGTACTAGTTTTTTTCTTTTCTTTCGAAAACGGTAGGGTTAGGTTGAATGTTCTATTTCCTTGAGGAAAAAAAGGAAACAAGTCGTCTCTATTGAAACAAAAAAAAAAGCAAGCAAATTTTGCCTATATAGTTTTACAATGATAAGTTTTATTGAAGGAAGAAAATATAAAAATGCAAAGATGGTTCGAAGTCCTGCTCCGTTGATTTATTTCTAATTCTTTGAATTTTATTGCAAAACGAAAGCTACTTTCTTCTAGTTAAGTGGATGATTAGTTTAGGGTACAACTATCGAACCGTAGTTCATCAATACCCACAACAATAGTGAGGGACGGTGTCATTTCAAACGCTCTTTTGGAGAAACCAGCATATATTTTATTTTCCTATGTTCAAACATTTTTCTCCACAACACAGGCGAACAATTAAAAAAAAAACTGGAAAAAACAGTAGCAACAAAACACAAGCATAATGGATTTCTATTTTCGTGGAACAAGTGGAACGTATAATAAAAAAAAAGTGTTTAAACCAATGGTGTTGTTGAGTGTTTCATTTATCGTGTGCCTATTAGGCCTATTCTGCGCGGTGTGTGAGGTGACTCTCCATTTGATTTGCATGGACAGTCACCTCACCCAATTGAGTTCTTTAGTGGTATTGAGCTAAATGCATACACGGCGAATGAGAACGACCCAAATTTGAGTTTAGTTCACTCATAATCGCCAAAAGTGCAGGAACTCAGCGATGAGTAAACTTGCCTCATGTTTTCCCAGGATTTTCCAGGGAAAAATTCCCGAATTTGAGAAAAGTAAAGATTGGATTCACTCAGTCTGGTCTATTGGTACTACTCCGAGACTGAATCAAATTTTCGTCAATTTCCTCATTTTCCGGCAGATTTTTTAGGTTTTCCACAGGAAAACATGAGACAAATTTTACTCATCGCTGAGTTCCTGCACTTTTGGCGATTATGAGTGAACTAAACTCAAATTTGGGTTGTTCTCATTCTCCGTGTATTCCTGGGCTTCGTGGTCGTGCGGTTAGCGGCGTCACCCGTCGTTCAGGCGTATTGTGAGTGCCACGAAGTGAGGGTTCGATTCCCGCTCCAGCCGGTGGAACTTTTCGCAACCCGGAAATTTCCCTACTGGTGGTCTACTGGGTGTTGAGTGTTGTCCGTTGTCTAGTGTTAAGTATTCAGTCTGTACAACCCCTGGTTGAAGACGGTGTCAATTGTCTTGTCTTAATGTGTATTACAAATGGAACCAGAATCCAGAAAAAATGCATAAATGTTTAAGCACTGGAACTATTTTAAATATGGTAATACTTTGTAACTGTGACTGTGTGCGACAATTGGCGAGGCATCATGTTACTGTGTATTGTTCTCAAAGTTCTGTGCAAAGTTATCCTGAATCGGATACAGGAGAAGATCGACGCGACTCTCCGACGGCAGCATGCAGGATTCCGTGCCGGAAGATCTTGTGTGGACCATATTGTCACGCTCCGCATCATCCTGGAGCAGGTCAATGAATTCCAAGAGTCCCTTTATTTGGTATTCATTGACTACGAAAAACTTTCGACCGTCTCAATCACGAGAATCTGTGGGGCGCCCTGAGACGCAAGGGAGTCCCGGATAAAATCGTCAACCTCATCGAAGCGCAGTATGAGGCTTTCACGTGCAGAGTTCTGCATAACGGAGCCTTGTCCGACCCTATCCGGGTAGTCGCTGGTGTGAGACAAGGATGTATACTATCACCGCTACTGTTTCTCATCGTAATCGACGAAATTATGGTAGGTGCAATTGACAGTGCTGCTTTGGCAGCCTATCACCATGGAGCATCTCAACGACTTCGATTTGGCTGATGATGTTGCTCTACTAGCACAACGGCGCTCTGATATGCAGAGTAAGCTCAATGACGTAGCCGAACGCTCCTCTGCGGCGGGTTTCACCATCAACGTCAACAAGACCAAATCGTTGGATATCAACACGGGCAACCCTTCCAACTTTACGGTAGCGGGGCAAGCAGTGGAGAAGGTCGAAATTTTCCAATATCTTGGCAGCCAAATAGCGTCGGACGGCGGGACCAAGAGCGACATAGGTGCACGAATCAAGAAGGCTAGGGCTGCCTTTGCGAGTTTACGAAACGTATGGAGATCCAACCAGATAAGTCAACGCACCAAAATCCGAATTTTCAACTCGAACGTGAAATCTGTGTTGTTATACGCCAGCGAGACGTGGTGTGTATCAGCGGAGAACACTCAAAAGCTGCAGGTCTTCATCAACCGATGCCTGCGGTATATAATTCGTGCCTGGTGGCCTCACAACTGGATCTCGAATGCCGAGCTCCATCGTCGATGTCATCAGAAGCCGATAGCAACAGAAATTCGAGAGCGAAAGTGGAGGTGGGTCGGCCACAAACTTCGACGGGGCGGAAACGAAATCTGCAAGCAAGCGCTGGATTGGAATCCAGCAGGACATCGCAGCAGAGGTAGACCCAGGGGCTCATGGCGGCGGAGCCTCAATAAGGAAATTAAGCAAGTCGATAGAAATCTGACCTGGGCCCATGTCAAGACAAAAGCGAGCAGCCGCCCAGGATGGAAGTCTTTCACGTTGGCCCTTTGCACCGCTGGTGGTGCACAGGACCCTTAAGTAAGTAAGTAAGTAAATACTTTGTATGGGAGCGAGCTGTCATTTTGTTAGTTTTGTATTTTGAAGTGATTAAATATTTTGCTTTAAAGATCGAGATGGGATCGAAAAAAAATATCGTGCTCAGAAAACGAAGCTCTTTCAGATGATGTATTATATAAAACATCCTCATTTACACATTTAGGCATTTCGGTGAGGAGGCATCATTCTCTGCTTGACCGATAAACCTATAGTTTGTTACAAACGTTCGCAGATATACTGCACGTCGCGTCGTCAGTAGTGTCGGTCGCATCGCGTGATGGGAAGACAGTGCTCCCGGAGCAGACTTCGTGATCAAGCGGATAAGAAGAACAGTGGTGAGGGTAGATCGGTACCTACCTCGAATAGGTACGCTACTCTTTCCACCGATGTTGGGAATACCAACCCAGTCCCGGTGAAGCGGACGAAAAAGAGGAAGAAGTCCGATGGTACGAGCGGATGCGACGAACGCCAGCGACATCGGTGATTTCGGCGCTGCCGTCGAAACCAAGAATTCTGTCGGCCCAAGTTCGGCGAAAGTCAAGCTTCCTCCACTGGTGGTGAAGGTAATGTCACTCAAGACGCTCATTGGCGATTTCGCTTCGCTGGGCATCGCAGCTGAGTACAAGATCAGCAGGATCGGCACTAAGGTGATGCTCCGGACGAAAGCGGAATACGAAATCGCCGTCAAATTCCTGAAGGATTCCAATGCGGAATACTTCACGCACGACATCCCCGGTGAGAAGCCCTTCAAGCACCGACAAACCGACATGACACTTAATTCTGACTCATGCCCGAAAATCGTAAACGGCCGATTTAAATGTGCAGTGATCCGAAATGTCAAATCCATAGGATTTTTTGATCAAGATAAAAATAATTTGTGCAGAATAGATCAGACACGAACCAATTCATAACTATTGAATGGGGGTTTATGGCTTAGCCAGATATTTCCCGCGAACATAGAGCCAGATGTCAGTAGTGTGCTTTGGTCAGAAATTTTATTGTATTTGCTATGGCCATTCATGTCGGTTTGTCGGTGCTTCAAGGTAGTCATCAGGGGTCTACCGAATGTTGACCCCAATGCGATCGAAGAAGAACTCAAGGACCGGTACAAACTGGCCCCCATCGCTGTCTTTCGGATGACAAGGAGAGACGAAAACGTGAAGACGTATCCGGATTGTCTTTTCCTGCTGCACTTCCAGAAGGGAACGGTGACGCTGAATACGCGGCAGGCTTTTTTTTCCTTGATTTGTTTTCCGTCGATCTTGTTTTCCGTGCTGAGCACCAATGCTACCGACGCCAGGGAGGCAGCTCCCACACCTGGACCTTACCTATCGACCCATTAACTCATGAACCGGGGACCAACGGCTTTACTTCCCGGCGTGATCAGAGATGTTATGCCTCAGAACATCCCGGCGGCGCCGACTGGGATTGAACCCAGGATTGAATATGTTAAACATTGCTATCACTATGAGATTATATGTGTTTAATTGGAAATAGGAATAACTTTTCGGTCATCAAAACAAAACTTTATTTTTCTCGGATCGGTGCGAATGTTACTTACGACATAATGAAAATTTGCTCTTGAATTAACATTTCCCAGGGCATACCACGACGAGGCGAACTACTTCATGCCCCTGGCCTGCTGGGGTGAGAGGCAATCACGCTTACCACTACACCACCGGCGCCGCTGCGCTGCAGGCTATTCGCTCAATCTACACCATCATCGTACGATGGGAGCCATACCGTGGAGGCCATCGCGATGTGACCCAGTGCCAACGATGTCTGAACTTTGGACACGGCACTCGCAACTGCAACATTAAGCCACGCTGTAGCAACTGCGGTCAAGAACACGCCACTTCCAACTGCCCTGCGGATGGAGCCGTGGCGTTAAAATGCGCCAACTGTGGTTGTGCAAATCAAGGTTCCGACAGGCAGTGCTCCAAACGCGAGTGCTTCAAACGCATCCGAAAACAGACGGCAACTAACAACCAACCAGGACGCAAGAAGGACAAAGGCATTTCGGACGGAGGATTTCCCGCCTCTCAAGCAACTTCCGGTGATTCTGCTGGCCATTATGGAGACAACCAGCAGCGCAAAACAACAACCCCGATCTGTTCTCAGTGGATGAACTGATGGAAATTTTCGTCAACATGTCCGGTGCTCTTCGTAAGTGCCGCAATAAGCCCGAACAGTTCCAAGTGCTCGGTAAGTTCATCATCAAGTATGGCATCTAAACCGCTAACTATCGTCACCTGGAATGCTTGCTCTGTAAGAGCAAAAGAGATTGAGCTTGCCGACTTCCTCCGCAAGCACAGCATCGACGTGGGCCTTCTAACCGAGACCCATCTAAAGTCCGGCGACAGCTTCTGGTTGCCTGACCACAACATTATTCGGCTTGATCGCATCACCTCCAGGGGGTGTTGTTGTGGTCGTCGCCAAGAAAGGAATAAAATACCACACTCTGTCCCATATCCGCACCTCTATCATCGAGGCCCTTGGTGTGGAGGTGGAGTCGTCGACTGGATACGTCCAGTTCATCGCCGCCTACTGCCCTCGACAGTGGACTAGCGGCTAAATTCAAGAAGGACCTGTTCATCATCACCCGTACCGGTTCCCGCTTCGTAGTTTGAGGAGATCTGTTCCGTCTCCGCCGAAAGTGAACCAACCATCTTGACAATCGCCGCTGACGAACAGCGACAAACAACACTAACCAATCAGCGACGTCCATATCACCATGCGCAGACAGCGCGCTCCTATAAAAGTGGCACCCATTAGGCAAACTGATTCATGAAGAGGCAGGCATTGCCAAAATAGATTCCAAAATTAACGAAATTAAGACTAAATTTACACAAAAATGTAATTTATCAGAACATGCTT